ATGCTGAACAACATCCAGAAAGCCTGCTGTGGGACTTGGTCCTTGAGCAGGAGAGCCAGCTGCATGCTTTGGTCGTCATGAGCACGTTGTAGAGATTTCTAAAGCACAGAGGATATTCTTTTATTATCTTTCCTCAGTGTGCTTTTTTTTTTTCTTTTTTAATGTGCTGTTCCAAAGGTTTATTCCAATAATATTTAGGGACCTGATTTTTAAAAATCCCTAGTATCATCGTTGTCTTCTCAGATAATTAAAGCCAAACTTCAGTTTGACACATTGTGGAACTTCATATACCTTAGAGTTGCAGACACCTAACCTCCCATTTTTCATTGTCATATGTGATTCTTTCCCTGAGTGTTTCCACCTGCCATTGTCTTGAAAAACTGAAATAATACAAATAAACCTGAGGAAGCTCATCTTTTCCATCATGGAGTTGCCAGTGATATGTTCATGCTGATGGTTAGTCTGGATGGGAGGAACTGTCAGCTATTGCTGTTAACCTGTATTGAGCTTTGTATTTAATCTCTTTGTGTCACCAGCTGCCCTGATGATGAATAAAGTTAATAAATAAAAGTACGCTTATTCAGAGTCTTGATGTAAATCGTTATTTTTATTATTTTCTGTTTTCCCTTGAAGATATAAACTGGATCTGCTGACTTTTCATTATCAAAATTCAATAAGCAGTATCTATAAACTGGGTCCTCTATTTCATTTTAAGCCCTTTTTTTGACATATTCTGCCTCTGTCCTGTTAAGCAGACATGCGGTTTGCACAGAGAAAATCTTTTTCATGTTTGAGACGAGATGAGGTAGGCTGTTAAAAGATTACTTTTTCTTTTGGTGCTGACTTTCCTTTTCAGGCTACTCATCGTCACTTCCCTATTGTTCTGTCAATCAGGCCAGTGTGACTGCAGCTGCATGGTAAACGACATCAGGAAAGTCATCTAGACTAAAAATAATGCTTTAAAAAAACAGAGAGAGAGAAAAAAACACTTATTTTTATCTCTGAACAGTTCCTGAGTAGGGTGTTCTTATTAAGACTGAAATAAATGCTTATGAAATTATTACTGTGACTAGAAAATGTTTGGGCACTCTGTCTGGAAGCCAATTTGCTCAGTCTGAGAGGGCACCAAGTCCAGACTAAACAGGTTAAAGACAATTGTTTCTGGATAATTGGATTATGTGATAAATTAAGCCACTCGTGGAGCAGAGATGGGTCTTAGGAGGGAGAAAGGTGACAGGCTGTTATGGGGCAGAAGGAGACAGCTCTTGTGGCATTAGGACAAGCTGTGGTGGCAGTTGTGGCTATAGTTAGTGTGGTCCAAAAGCTGATATTCCTGCCAGCATTGCTTCAGTATGTATTCAGTGCCTTACTAAGATTGCTTGTGCAGTATATATTACCTGCACTTGTTCTAATTGCACTGCTTTGGTGTAACGAACCCCTTCAGTCAGTGGGAGGAATTATTAGAACCAAATTCATATCTATTGGAAATTTTATCAGGCCTCACTACTGGTTTTAATTGTAAAGAATCAGTCAGAAAGGTTTAAGGATTTTTTTTTCATAAAACAGTGGATTTTGTTAATGAGTAAAATCAGTCTGATGAGCAGACGTGTTATGAAGCACCTTCCTCCATACTGTTAATTTTTGTAAAAGAAACTAATTCTTCTCAGTTGTTGCAAGCATCTCGTCCAAGTCCATTGTCCACATTGCCTTTCTAGTTAGTGGAAGGGGAGACAGGTGAAGACCTTCAGACTGCATTTCCAGCTGGTTTAGGATGAGGTAAACTGCTTTATGAAGATGCCAGCATCTCTTGGTTTATCAGAGGGAGCAGAGGTGTAAGTGTGCAGCAGGTGTTTCCTTTTCAGACAGCTAAGGCTGTGGGAAGCAAATCACACTGAACATATCTTTTGGTTAAGAGCATTGTATGGGCTGTGACCTAAAAATTATGGTTTACATCTCTTGTACAACTTTTATTTATATTTTAACATAGCTGCTATAATCGGATAGCCTTGCTGGCTATATAAATAAGTAGTTCTTGAGTCCCATTAAGCTCTTGGCTCCTGTGCTTACTACACACTTGTGAATTCAATAAGCAAACCCTGCTGTTGGTAAAACAAGTATTTACTTTCTTCTGTTTGCTTGTGAAACCACTTAGATTAATTAGATTTCACCTTGTTCTTACATGAGGAAGCAGAAGCAGAGCCCATTTTATTGGTCTTTCTTTCAAGTCAAATCATACAAATCTTTTGGGGATTTTTTTCTCTGGTAACTCCTCTTATCTGCCAAAGTCTTACTGTGCTGGGATTATCCTAAGAAACATAACATTACAAGCTTGAAGAGGACAACAGATTCGTATAATAGCTTTGGAATATTTTTCCTGTTATTTTCCATCCTCTTTGTTATGTATGCAAACAAGGTGTTTGCTGTTTTGATCAGTGATACCCACTGAGCAAATGTTTTCATTGAGCTTTTCATGCTGATGCACGGCTCTGGCTTTTGTTTTGTTTTTCCTGAGCTGATAACAATTTTCTCTAACCCCAGCAATGAGATGTTCAAATTAATCCCTTCTGTGTGCATTGCTTTGCATTTTTCAGCCTCTAATTTCATCTGTTCCTGATGTTGAATCACTAGTAGCTCCCACACATGGAACAGTAGATACTAAAGAGACACTAAAATATGGGACAAAGAATGCCAAAAGCTGCTAGAGTTTAACAGAACTAGGTAAAGTCTTGTGTTTGATTTGTTTTCTGCGTTATAGGAAACTCAGCACAGTTCTGATTTCCTTTTCAGTTCAGTATTTATCTTAATAACATACACGTGGGAAGACTACCTTCATTCTGCCTTTTGACAGCTTCACCCTTGTCTCTTCACACCTGCTGTCCTGAGCTACCAAGGATAAGCAAACTTTTGGATTTGACTCAAAACATCAATTATCCTAAGCGCTGTCCTGCCTTTTGCACCATTTCTTTCAAGTGGCTTCAAACCAATTGAGAATGCTTAGCTGCACAACATGCTGTAGTTTTGCTGAGATTTAGTGATTCTTGGATGCTTAAAGAGCACGTTGGGCCACTTTGCTGAGAGCACAGATTAGAGAAGCTTTATTAGCAAACAGTATGGTTCAGGGTAACAGAGGGCTGACAAATTTTATGGAACAATGTATCTATGTTTACAGTGAAATTCACCTATTGTAACACAAATACTCCCATGAAAATCCAAATTAGATCTTAAGATGAAACATTGATGTTTTGTTTATAGCATCTTTCACCGTTCATATCTGTCTTCAGTTCTGATATTTTATTTCCACAGGACGGTACAGACATTATTTTTCCCACACCCCATATGCCCAAGTCATGTATAAAGATATTTAGCTCAAATACCATGCGTGGAAAACATTCCACACTGTGGGTACGAGGTGACGTTTGGTGTGTCTTTAACATGCTGTGGTGTTCAATGACAATACAGCAAATTTATTTTTATGCAGCCTTCTTCATAGAAAGTATGGAAAATTGCTTTGCAGTGAGTCATCTGTCAGCTAAAGAACTAAAAGTCTTGTAGTGATATTTAAAGAGAGAAAGTGGCTCAGAGCTGACAGGGTTCAAGACAGAAAAAGAAACAGAATTGAAAGAGAGAGTCTCCAATCATGGAGAAAATAGAGGCAAAGACTGGTAGGGGGAGGAGTGATGAGAAAGCCAAACAAGCTGAGAATGTCAGAGGCAGTTCAGGAAGCTATGCAGATCATCTGCAAACAAGCGTTGGGCTTCAGGTGTCTCTCCTGCATTACATCAGCCAAGCAAAGATTCTTTGACCCTAAGGGAATGGTGTAAAACCAGGAAGATAAGAGAATGGTGTAAAACCAGATAAGTAAGAGCACTGGGCTCTGCCCTTTGAGGGATTTAGAAACATGCAGGTAGAGATTGAGGAAAGGATAAATGGCTTATTTATTTAGAGCAGGACATTGGAGAAACACTGGCATTCTGCATTCCATGTTGTTTAAACATGAGGATTTTCGTAGGCCATGAAAGAAGGAATTTCAGTTAGTTAAGACAGGAGTTATAGGCAGGAATATGGACTTCAGCAGCAGTGCAGTCAAAAGGAAGATGGATTCTGACAGTCTTCCCTTGCTGGTGCCAGGAGGGCTCACACTCAGAAGTGAGGGTGTGGGAAAGGCAGTCAGTTCAGGGTCAGAGATTACTTTAGAACTCTGGCTTTGTGTACAGGGATAAGATCTGAGTAAAGAAGCATGAAAGCTGTCTTGGAGGGCAAGAGGGACTTCTTTCCCTTGACATTTGAGCCTTTTGAAGAATTAGCTAGTAAGGAAATTATAATGTAACATGGGAATGACAGAACCAAGGCAGGCTGTTAAAGAGATCAGAGATTACTTGCCAAGGTCACTGATGCCTTGCATACTTTCCCTATAAAGTTGAGGTCCAAAGCTGAGCTAGCAATAAGATATCCCAAAGGAGGAGGATGTTTAAGGAGGAGAAAGTAGATGAATCAGAAACAGATACCTGGTGTTTTTAAGGCACAATACTATCATGGAGGGATATAGTTGGCAAAAGCACTGTTGTTTTTATTGTGAATTACTTGCATGCTTCCTGGGTTCTTGGTCAAGTCTACCAGCTGGTGGTGTAGGTCCCTTGGTGCAGCTCTGTCGTTGCTTGTCCCCCAGCCTGCACCATACCTCGTGATTCTTTTGACCTCTTTCTCTGTATAGAGCCATATTAATCTGCCTTAAGAAAATAAATGTGATGTAAAGTACATAGCATGAAGGAGAGTACAGTCTTTATTGAAAGCAGAAGGGAAAAAAACTTGTCTTCTTACTCAATAAAGTCAAAAAAGTTGGCTTTGACATTGTAGTACTGGAGGGCATTCTAAGCATAAAAGGGGAGAACCACTCAGACATCCCAGAATTTAAAGAGAGTAATATTTCATTGTATGCTGTTCTAAAATGCTTATTACAGATCTTTTTATTTACAACTATCGTGTCTCTTTTGAATCTGCAGAGGAGGAATATCAAGGACAAACCAAGAGAAAGCGCATTCGAAGGAGGAAACAAAAGAGCAATTTGCAAAACTCTAACAATTTACATGGAGAACAAACAGAATCTGGAATGCAAGAGACTCTTGTTCAAGATAATCTACAGCTGCAGCGGATAGACAGTCCCAAAATAAGCAAAAACAAAAAGAGGAAATTGAAAAAGAAGCGACAGAAAGAAAAAATGAGAGCAGCTGGCTTGGTAACAAAAAGTACCGGTGTGGATTTTACATATCAGCCTGATGCCAACAGCAGAGAAGCAGCAGCACGCTTGAAAGACATAGATGAAAAGGCAGATAGCATTCTGGACTTCCTGCAGGCAACACAACAAATTTATTTTGCTGACAGTATGTACCACTCTTTCTCCTTTCTTTTCATGAGTGTTAGTAGGGGGAACGATGTAGGAGGAAATAGATGTGCACGTAGTATAGCCCTAGAATCGGCCAAATCTACTAGGGAAGTGTCTCTTTTGAACTCAGTAAGACATGTGAGTATGTAATATTTGTCCCATTTTATGGTGTGTACATTAATATGTAAGAATTTGCATCAATATAAAAAAACTGTGGTCCTAATGTCTTTCTCTGTGTTTGAAAATATACATAATATTCCTTGCTCTTTTTTAAAACATTCCAGTTCTCTTGGGGTAAATGTAGTGGTTAAAATGGACAAAATTCTTCCTTCCTCTGCAAGCAAATATCCAGACGGATTACTTGCTTTCAGAGAGCTTCAAATGAGGGTGATAATTTCTATCCTAAACTGCTTTCATGCTTACTATCTCTGAACCAACCTATTTTTCAGAAAGTTCTCCCTCACAGGAGGAGATTTACTTTTAGTATATAAAGAAATCTAGACAGACAGCATCCAAGAGGAAAGAGGAAGATACTGTTAGCACTGGGAAAACGTATTGCTATAAAGCACTTGTGAACAAGATGAATGTGCACTGATACTCAGTACACATTCCATAGCACCTTAAAAAGAGTTGTGTGGATGTTATCCCTAATGGCCTGTTGAATGTTCATCTGGCCACTAAAATCAGAGAAATTCCTTCTGTATGTTTCTTCCATTGCCTTCCTATAAAGCTGCTTGTATAGTGCTTATGTCATAAATGCCTTTCAGAGATAATGAAGTTTTAATGGTAAGTACCATAGTACTTATCTGTACATACACCAGATTATGTTAGTATCATCATCTGGAATTAAATATGTTTTCTTAAGGGCAAGCTGGTATGTGCTCTAGTTGCTCAGCTCAGAACATGGCTCTAAACTGATAACTGTCTTGTAAAACTGGAAAAAAGCAGTGAAAAGTGTTTCAAAGTACATGGCCTTGACCGTCTTTGTGGAGCTGAATGAAGGATATTAAACAGCTTAGTTACCTGTATGAGGCCATCTTAAGTCACAGCTGTCAGCTCCTAGTCCCATAAAATTCACCTTCAGGCTGCTGAATGAGTTCAAAAACCCTGTTAAGATTACATCAGGGATTTCATGTTAATTTTTTTTTCTCAAGATTTATACATAGAATTTTCTTTTCTTACCGTTAAAAGTTTTTCTGCTGTGTCAGGTCATCGTGTTAAACGTAGCACTGGAAATCCATCCTACGTTCTGGCTAATGTATTTCCATCACCAAAAATAAGAATTTTTACTGCATCAGTGCATGGCTAAGTAAACATAAGCTAAGCTGCATGCATTTGCTCTAGTGGAACTCCAGAGCAACTGAGAAAGATTGTGAGGGGAATGTAACAGTTGTGCTGTTAATATGTGACCTAGAACAGAAAACTGGTAAATTGTCCACAGCTACGTTGCATGTTGAATTTTAAGCAAAAGTGTTGAGCTTCCAGCTTTCCTGCAAGTCAAGTTCAGGTTTTAGCAGTGATTGACAGACTGACCGGCCATGCTGCAGATTGAAGGGTTGAGCCAGTGAGAACCTTGGAATCCATAGAGAAAAATCCACAGGTAAAAGAAAGTTTATCTATGGATAAGATAAATCAGAGTCTGACTAACTTTCTTATTAGGCAAATCCCCGTTTACGTATAGATCTGACATGATACTGTTTGCCTTTTTCAGTTGAGTGATTTTTAATGCTCCTTTTTTTTATTAAAATTGGAAGCCATTGCTTTTAGCAGTATTTTCAGATGGGCACTTTAGATTACTTCTTATACTTCTGTCAGAAAGCTGAATTGTAAAAAGTCTGTTCTCAGTTGGCTTGCTGGTGAAAAACAGAAGAATTCAAGGGAATCTGGTTAAAGAGACAAGCTATACATTGTTACTGGAGTAGAAGAATGAATTTATATTTTAATACTCTAGAAACGATATACTACTTTGCTGTCTGGCATGCTGTAATATCTGCTGTTTAAATATAAATGTAAAACTGCAATAACAAGATAACTGGATGCCTCCAGAATTGCTTTGCGGTAGTTTCAGAGTTGTTCCCGGTCTCCACATTTATGTGCCTTTTTGTAGTACAGTGTAGGAAGCAAAACCACAGTGCTTTGGCCACGGTACAATTCCTTCGTCACACCTTCCTGTGTTAGTGTTAAAAATGTAGGGTTTTTTGGATTCCTGTCACTCTGAATCCTATTATGCTTTGTACTTTTTCAATTTGATACTTTCCCCTCTTACCGTTGCTTTAATACTTAATAAAAAACGGGAGGAGCAAGCTGCCATTTAGTACCTGATACTTGGTTGTAAGCTGTACTAAACAGGAAAATGCTGCCTTTGAAAAGGTTAGGAGGAAAATTCTCTGTGCTCACTATTTTAATGTGGTTTTCCTATTGTTCTTCCAGATAAATCAACAGGCACGGATTCTGCTGCAAACCCAGCAACTGCCCAAGAGCTTTTACGGTCTCTTGAATCTCGCACCATCTCTTCCTCAGATGTAACTCTTCTGCATCAGCTGAAGTCCCTTGTTTTACTACAGGATATTGAGAGACTGAAGGATGCTTTGAAACAATTCCAAGAACACTCCATGATGCCTCCTGGTATGTACCATTCACTCATGTCATTCACTGATGCTCGTTTTTGTCTGGATTAAAATTCAAACTTGTCACAGTTGGGGTTTTGTTTTTTTTTTATTTTATTTTGATATATATTTTAAAAATTCTATAATTATTATATAGTGCTAGATCCATGCTTATACAAGATTTGAAAGCATAATTCCCATCAAAAATACAGTAATTTTCCCTGTTTCTTCTTTGGTTACTATCAATACAGGAGCTTTTTATACTTTGCAGCAGTTATAGAGTACAAGATGATCTAGGTTCTTAAAACAATATTTTTTAAGCCTTAACTGTTTTAATATTTAATCATGTTTAAATCATATTTTTGGTGCATTCTCTGTGTAGACTTTTTAAATCATGAGAATTAACTTGTTTATCTTGGAGATTTCACCCGTCCAGTTGAGGATTAATTTTACATGCATAAGAATCAATAAAGCCCATTATTTCATTTCTTCTTGGTTACCTACATGGCTTCATTGACAGATAGATTTTGCATGCCAAAGTGTGATTTATAGCTTTGTTCTTATCTAAATATAAACGTATGGTTTAAGTTTCTAAAAAATACTGTTGATTATATAAAAGCTTAAAATCACTCTTTGTAATAAATGATATTATAAAGTCATAAAAAGAAAAATTATTCTGTTACTAAACTTTTAATCCCTGAGGCACAAGTCTGATTTCATTCATGCTTCTTTTGTTCTCTATTATAACCCCTATAATTTAGTAGAATTTCCTCTTGGAGAGTTAATAGTTCCTCAAGCGAATGTGAGATCAGCATATAGTCCACAGAAGATATAATAATTCATTTTCCAAGTAGCCTTCATTTGGATAGTCATTGTTACTCATCACTAGTACTTTTGTTGCAGCATCAGCCGAATCTAGAAGATGTGCTGAATTTTCTTTCCTCCAAAGAAATTTAATCAGAGTTTGGAGCACTTGCTCTGGCACGAGAGAATCTCAACCACTTTAGTGCTCTAAGTCTTTTGAAGAGTAACAACTGAGCTGGTAGTAGCGTGGTAACGAGTAAGTAAGACCATAGCCATCAGAGGCTTAGCAATAACACTGAAAATAGAGACTACTGCTTGTAACATCATTAAATAATTTACAGCGTGAGAGTAGTTAAAGATCCCAGTCAAGACTGGAGCCTACTGCATGCTGTGCATTGTGAAAACACAGAAAAGAGGGAATTCCTGCCTGTAATGTTCATAGCTGGGATATTCTGGAAAGAACACGCTTGCAGAAATACATATGTATTTAGAAATACATACATATTCTATATGTACATAGAATCACTATGGTTGGAAAGGACCTCCACTATCATCAAGTCCAACCTTCATCCCAGCATTTTCCTAAACACTAGAGCATAGCCTCAAGTGCTGCATCTACTCGTTTTTTGAACACCTCCAGGGATGATGACTGCACCACCTCTCTGAGCAGCCCATTCCAGTGTCTAACCACTCAGTGAAGAAATTCCTAATATCCAGCCTAAACTTCCCCTGGCACAACTTGAGGCCATTTCCTCTTGTCCTATCATCAGTAATTTGGAAGAGACCAACAGCAGCCTCACTACATCCTTCTTCTAGGTAGTTGTAGAGGGCAATAAGGTCTCCTCTTAGTCTCCTCTTCTCCAGACTAAACAACCCCTGTTCACTCAGCCAGTCCTCACAAGGCATGTTTTCCAGCATGTCCTTCTTATCCTGTGGTGCCCAAAACCGGACACAGAACTCAAGGTGCAGTCTCACCAGTGCCGAGTCCAGGGGCACAATCACCCCCCTACTCCTGCTGGTCACACCATTTTTGATACAGGCCAGGTTGCCATTGGCCTTCTTGGCCACCTGGGCACACTGCTGGCTCATGTTCAGTCAGCTGTCCACCAGCACCCCCAGGTCCTTTTCCTCCAGGCAGCTTTCCAGCCACTCCTCCCCAAGACTGGAGAGTTACCTGGGGTTGTTGTGACAACAACATGTTGTGCAGGACATGGCACTTGGCCTTGTTAAGCCTCATACAACTGACCTAAGCCCATTGCTCCAGCCTGCCCGGATCCCTCTGCAGAGCCTTCCTACCCTCAAACAGATTGACACTCCCACTTAATTTCATGTCATCTGCAAACTTACTGAGGGTGCATTCAATCCCCTCATCCAGGTCATTGATAAAGATATTAAACAAGACCAGTCCCAAAACTGAGCCCTGAGGGACACCGCTTGTGACTGGATGCCAACAGGATTTAACTCTACATATGGAATATGACAGCACTTAAGGTTCTGATAAATGTGAAGTATCCACATATACATGGAACAAAATCCTTCTGTGCATTCAATAATTAATTTCAAGCCTAGATTCTATGAACTTAATTATAATCACATAGTCTCACTGGATGTAATACACATATGCAAACTAAGTAGAGCTCAGCAGGAGTAGTGGTATTAGCCCTTTATTAAATGACCTAATTTAGCTTCTGTTGATTAAATCAAAATGGAACTGTTGAAGTGACCACATTCAGGCTATTCCTTGCAGGTCTTATCCAAATTCTACTCAATATAGCAGGAATTTTGGTGGGTTTTGCAACCTTGAGGCAAGCTGCTGTTTGCTTTTATAGAGCAGCAATGTCAAGCTGAAAAGAGAAAACAGAAGCAAATTAGAAACAAATCCATGCAACTACCCTAATTTTCTGATATATTTATTAGTCACTTGAAAAAACAGAAGAGTTTTCTAAGTGATTTTCAAAAATCATTTAAGTTTCTGCTGATACAGAAATTGTTTACCCTTCCAGTTATGTTGTTTTTCCTAGTAACTGTTGTCACTCCAGGCTCAATTCTAATCACGTTCATGGGTATGACCCTAGTAGTTGATTTTCTATTTGTGAGTTATGACAACATAAAAAAGTGGAAAATACATTGTTTTAATTTATTACACAATAATTAAACATCCTGCTAGACATTAATTTGCCTCAGCAGAGTTTAACAATATATTCTATATGTAATTCAGGAATTTCAGTGAATAAGAATATAGTGCTTTGAAATTTTACTTTGAATTAGGTTTTTAATTATACTTTTTCCCTACTTTTTTCTCAAAATTAGCTCATCCTGCCCATTTTGGCTTTCGTTCCCAATGAACAGGTGATAAAAGTTAAGAGCTATTGCAAAAACTTGTTTTGTCATCAAATTCAAGGTCTTGTTATAGAAATAAAAGTTAGGGATGTTTGTGAAAATTAAAATGTACAGTCTATCATAGTAATCTCAAATTTTTTTACAAGTCTGTCTGGTTATCTTGCCTTTTTTCTGCTTTGTTTTTACTAGGGCATGATGTACTAGAAGAAAAGGTCATTCCTTATTAGCATGATGAAAAGAAAACAATTTTTCTTAATTTTAGAAAGGTGTATTGTTTTTGCAAAATAAACCTATTTTCAGTTCAAGTAATCATACAGACTTAAGATTGGTCAAAAGTTTTTGTTTGAACATGGCTATTTAAAGTGTCATTGTTCTCAGACTGAAAAAAAGAACAAAATGCTCTACTACTATTTCCATTTACTTGGTAGTCTGTAACAAAAACTACTTACCTCTACTTAAAGTCTTCTATAAATGCAGGGAAGAGAATGTTTCGAAGCCAAATAAACTTGGGTTCGTTGTGCTGAGGGCTTGGCTGATCTCGGTCAGAAAGTCAGTGGCCATTTGCAAAAGGAAACCAGACACCTTCATGATCCTGCACAGTGTGGTGGGCAAAGGAGAAGGGCTATGACTGGAAATAATGCTCCATTTGCTAGTTGGAAACCATAGTTTTTGAAATGAGGGCTACTTAATTCCCATTTCACATCAATTATTAAAGCATAGGTGATCACCTAATTAAAAAAAAAAGTCATTATCTTCTAATTTATGAATTTCTTAATTCAGCTTCTACTCATCAACTTCATTCCATTATCTATTAACATTTTCCCTGTGTTGGTTAATATCAAGTCTCAAATATATTCTTCCCTTGTTGCCTAGGAAATTATCACTCAAGGAAGAGCCAGAAGCTTTTTAACTGCTTTTATTCTGAGCGTTGTCCATTATATATGTTTCTATTGCAGAGGTGAGGGGGGTACATTTTGCAGACCAGACGTAATACAGTCATATTGTGCTAACAGCGCACAGGGCTGGATACACAGAGGCCCTAAGATGATTGAATTTAAACACCTTTTTTTTTTTTTTTTAACAAACATTCAAAGAAGAGGAAATGAAATGTGAAAGCTATATTAGGATAACATTATAGAGACATCTTAAATGTGATATTATATGATGAATACTGTAGAAAGTCCTGTCGTTAAAAATAAATAGTCACTTAGATAATCTCTGAATCAAGACAGAAGCCATGGCTTTTTGAGGCTTTAATGCAGCTGTCTAGACAAGACAACTCATTCTCAGCTGGGGCTTCTAGGTGCTACTGTAAGTTAAATAATAATGTGTGAAATTACTCTCCAGCCAGAAGATTGCACTCTTTTAGCCTTATACATATGATCATGCCATACCTGTATGATCTCCATTTTTTCCAAATTATTAACTCATAAGAAACAGGACATTGCAAATATAGAATCAAAATAATTTCTTGTACAAATAACTGACCTCCTAAAAGAAAATGCACCTGTTTATCTTGAAATTCATATGTATTAGCCTTCAAGGCCCAATATCTACACTGGTTTTACTGAAATTCTAATAGTGAATGGAAACAGATGTTCGCAAAAGTCTTTTTCTTTAATGTTCAAAAATCTTGTAGAGATATTTCAGGAGGAATGTGTTTTCTTTGTTTCAGATCATACCAAGATTGTCACGTCTCTGTTTCACTACTGGATTACAGATATCCTTCCTGTGAAGAACAGGAGATAAAGCCTTGTCTGTGTCCATATGTGCAGGGTTAAAATTTAATATACAAACTCTTAACCAAGTAGCAATTGTTGAGGACGAGCAGTGTCAATACACATTCTGCACCTTCAGGTAAATGAATTATTTTTCTGTCTTACAAACTCCAGAAGACAATAAACAGGGTATAACTACATGTGATTTTTGTTTGGTTGCTCAAGAATATCTGTATACTGGGTGGCCTGTACATCTCACCTCTGGATAAGGGACTTATCTGGAATGATAAAGTCTGTATCAGGTATTTTGTTTAAGAAATATAGTATTATTTGTTTCTTTATAAATGGATCATTTCTTTCTGGAAGTTTTATTTCTTGACTTTTCATGTTTATCTGATATATCTGTTTACCTGAAAAAAAAAAAAAATTTATATTTAAATCTAAGCAACAGTATGTCTGAGAAATTTATTTGTGCTGAATATATTGCTAATTTGTGGAAATAGACAGTCTAATTTCTACATGTGGATCACATAGGTGCTGTTTGGAGTTATGCAGAAACTTGGATGGCATTTGCAGAACTATTCCAGCCTGTTACAATCCAATGGGCTTCGCTGACTGCAGAGTTACGGGATGGGGTTCTCTCAGGGATTGCTGTGCAGTCTCTGCAACTGAATTTGTCCATGTGTAGATGATGCAGTAAATAATATCCATGGTTGTAAAATGTTTTGGAATCCTGAAGAACAAAATGCTTTGTAAGTGAGAGGCTCTTCTCTCAGCTGAGTCATTCACCTGATAGGTGATACAGAGCAAACCATTTCTCTTATCGTTGTGTGTTAGCTTCCTCGTCAGTAGGATAGTGACAACATATTTATCTTCTCCAACATGTGCTTGGAGTTATACTACTGACAAGACTATATAAACCTTGCCTGGGTTTTCTGCTTTGTTTTTTTTAATTATATCGCCTGATTTATCCTGTTACAAGGCATTGTTTTTATTAATGCTCAAAATCTTTAATAAAAATACAATCATATTTCTTTGTCATTAATTGAAGATGTTAAAAGATTTCCAGTAACATGCCAAAAGATTGCAGATACAGAAAAAAAAATAGTCTTCTGGCTAAAGGCAGCTGTGTGCAGCACTGGAGAACATGAGTTAGGTCTGTATCTGCTGGGAAAGGCAGATGTTTAAACCAGAAATTGCAGAGGAGGAGCCAATACTATATTCCCTGTTTTAATGTTCCTGACTTGCTAACACGTAAGCACCAAGCACTTTTCACTGAGACTCTGTGTGCCTCGGTCCCGTATCTGGCGAGTGAAGAAAGTACCACTTGACTGTGAAGCACCTAGGTACAGTACTGACAGACCCCGCAGGAAATCAACCACTTCATCCTCAGATCAAGGCTTGGGTCTCATGCAGTAAATGAGGCCTAGGAACTGCACAAAAAGGATATGCAGAAGCTCACTGGGTCAGCATCATCTGTCTTGTACGCTGACTATGAAAAAATAAAGGAGATCATGTAATTAAAGACAATATTTTGAAACACAAGTACAAACCAGGTCAAATTCGGACCACACAAACAACCGTAGTGTCTGCGTTTCCTGATACTCAGGTGACTGTGCTGAGGGGTGTTACAAGGCTGCTGCCTTGGGTGGAGCCCACAGCATAGGGATTCCTCATCCTCTGGATCCCAGGCTGGTGCATCTGGAGACCTGGATGTCTCTCTGTCTCACCCAGTGGAGGTGACTGCAGCTTTCATGTTCCTGGGTTCAGCCTGGCTCCCCGTGGCTGCCGCAGGCAGGACACTGCCTGTAACAGCGCCCATGTGAGTAACCCTGCCAGGACTCAGGAAATACAAGCTGGGTCATCTTCTCTGGCTGGTTGGAATTGAAGTTTGTGAGTAAAAACACAAGTCCCCTTCTCTTCCTAGATTCACAGCCATACCCCTGTTCCCTGATCCCTCAAATACTAGCACAGGCCCTCAGCCTCTCTCATATCCCTGCCTTGATCCTGGGCCCTGCTCTGCAGCTCTCCTACTCACCAGCTACTCCAGCCTGACACATGCCATCACACGTTCATTCACACGCTCTTCTCACAAGCATTCACCTCGCAGCTTTGTTTATTGCTGTAATTTCTCTTATTTATTAGTTCTGTTTCAGTGCTTGTCCATTTCGCAGAATACTAAAGTGATTTTTAGAATGATGCTGAATTTTAAATATCTGCATACAGAGGAGCAGATTTGGGCATCTTTGTCAAATGGAAATATTTTGTGTACTACCAGTAGTCTAATCCTAAAATGTGAGGAAAATTTCTCAAGCCAAACGTACATTGCTTGAATTTGGTAGTAATGGGGAAAAGATTGCTTTCAGCCTCTCTCTTTTTTATCTTCATTTTAACCATCCTAAGAGTCTTATATTCTGTGCAGAAATCAGCTGGTCCTAACAAAGCAAGACTGGGAACAGTTTCAGAGCATTGCTAGTTAGAGTCAGTGATATCTGATGTCTTTGTAAATGACCTGTGATAGGAGTTGAATCTTACACTTATCAAACCCGCCACTATTACGCTAACAGGGACTACAAAGAGATGGGGATAAAGTAAAATCTGAGATGTTAGAGAGTTTAGAAAATTGGACCAAATTCAAGCAGATAAATTGTAGATAGTGATTGTAGATAAATGCAATTGCATAAGAGTGTATTTGTTGCTGAAACAAATGTGCCAAACAACGGTGTGCTGAACCACAATGTACATAAGGACACATAAAAGCAATACATAAAAGAACATAGCAGAAAGATCCAGTTTAAAAGGAAAAGAAATGGACATTAATCATCCTGTAATATCAATTAGGCAATGTACTAAAAATGACAAGAATGATTGTTTGGTTCCATGTTTAACGTCCTATTTGTAATCAAAAAGACTTCATACACCAGAATTTTAATACCTGGTCACTTTTCTGTGCTGCTGCTTTGAAAGACATGCTGAAGCTCCCTACAACTTGTGTAGTTTATTTGAGCAGTGGTATAACCGACACAACTGGGATATGAAAACTGAAAAATTTAAATTAGTATCTACCAGTGAACAGAGTGTTTTACCTTTCACTACACATGGCTCCTTCAACATAGCAATGAAACATTTATCACTTTGGATTTCCATGTTAAACTTGTAAATGGAAAAGGAGATGACCTTGAGTTTTTGCTGCACCAGCATTATTCAGTGTAATGAATGCGCAATATCCTGTGGAAATTCTAAGTCATGGAAGAGGTTTTTATAGTGCACTTTGCATTGGAGAACTTCAAACTGAACTGCACACATGCTATTATCACCATATTTCAAACTTCTGAGAGGACAGAAATTTAAAATTTTTGTTTTAAAGCTTACATGCACTCCAACAGTAGGAAGAATTTAAGGATCAGATCAAAAGTAGCCTGCATGTGGCTTCAAGAGTTAACTTTCTAGTTTGCATAATTAAACATTACACAGTAGGGAGGGCATAGCAGCACAGTGGGAGAGAAGCTGGGCTGTGAGTAGGTGGTGGTCCCTTCCCTGGGCTCTGTGTACAAGGAAGACCACAGAAGCTGAAGTAGTTTGAGGCACCTGTAGTAGTGAATGGCTGGTCACTATGCTTGTATGAAAGAGTATGAGTTCAAAGCCACTGTATATATGTGTGTATATATATATA